CTGAGAAGTCAAAGATTTTATATGGGTCAGCACCCTTAAACAGCCGTGGCTTGTTTAAAATGTGGCATTGTAGATGGCTAGGCCTCTGTTGATGATGCAAGCCTACAGATCTATAACGAGAGACGTTTCTATGAGACAGAAGAAAAACAAAAGTTAATGTCTGGAACCATCTATAAAATCAGTTTCCTTAGAGTCTTGGTGGCAGTCAGTTGAGGTGTTCAGATGTTAGGCCTTGAAGCATCTTTGGTTCAAGAGTAAGAAGGCAGTGGTAATCTGACAAGTTTTTTTCATCTGTGTCACGAAATGTAAGCTTCAGCTTGCTGGGTCTCAGGAAAAAAGTAGTGGCAATTTCATTGAGTCCAAGTTCAAAAAATGGAAGAAAAACTGGAAAATGTTAGTTTGAAGACTTGAAGCCAGCAAAGAATTTAGGATTCAGTTCAAATTGTAGGAAATAATAAAAACTCAAAGCTAATGAACAAGATAATCTAATAACAGGTATACTATAGTTTTATGTCCTATGTAATATTTGGGGCACATTTATATGAATCAATAGTATTCATTTATTTGAAATTTATTTATTTGCTGTTTATTTTTTCCTAAATGTGCCAATCTAATTTAGAGGGGAAGAGATGGAGGAGGTGGGTTTATGCTTGATGTTGCTGAAATATCACAGCATTAAGAAGCTGCCACCCTCCTTCGTCCAGGTTGGCAACACAGGAAGACTTAGGGCAAGAAATTCTCACACCCACCAACATCTGGGGGTAGGGCAGGGCTTGTGATATGTCGCAATGGGATGGGTGGGTGGAGGAAGGAGCCTTCCATTTTCTTTGTGTTCCTGGGTCTTGCATTCACATGACCTCCTCTAATAAACTGACACATTGAACAGAATTATTGAAAAGGATCCTCTTCTAGAGAACATCCTCGAAGGAAATACTTTTTCCATGTCACCCCCCAGCCTTGCCTCCAGCCATGCTTCCAAATAATCTTCTAGTGTGTCTGGCATCTGAACTCAGCCTCAATTTAGGTGTTCCAAGCTTCATCTTCTCTCGGGACTCTCAAGCACACTACCATTGTCCCACCTACAGGGGCCCATGGAGGGGGCCTTGTATCCCCTCTCAGATCTTGGTTTAAGAGTGGGTATAAAATCCTTCTCTTGATTTTTGGGAGCTTTGCTGAGATTAAGCTGGCCTTTAAAACAAGGTTTTACTACATGCTCAGGAAGGACAGAAGGGAGACACAGAGTAACAGAATCCAGAGATAGGATCTGGGGTCAGGGTTTTCCAAGCTTCCTGGAGGATAGAATCCCCTGGGGCATTTGATTGAATGTTTGCATAGATTTTTCAGAAAGTCTGGGTCCAGGTCTGAGAATCTGCATTTTACCAGAGTTTAGCCGATTCTGATTTGCAGCACAGTAGAGCATCTTTGAAGTAGCAGTGTGGTGGGTCATTCTATGGTCTTGAAGCCTCTTCCCCTCCTATCTGCCTCCATGCCAACCCCCCACCTGGGAGCCTGGGGCTGGGTTTTGATCTTTGGTATGTCCAAGGCCATTTATCTCCAGCTCCAGAAATTCTACCTGTCCACCCGAGGACAGAGATTTTTAAGAAATGCCTAGGTTTTTTTTCTTTCAGCTAAAAATGAAGATTCCTGAGACCATTCCAGGAGATTCTGATTTGGTCAGTCCTGGGTAGGGTCCCTAAATCTGCATTTTTAAACTTTAAGGAGTTCTAACGTCAGTAGTCTCTGGGCTATAGTTCGAAAAAAATTGCTCTTGACAAAGGAGAGAAAGAGACTCAGTGATGACAAAGCCCTTTCTGCCTCCCTCATGCCTTCCTCCTAGCAGTGCCACTTCTCCGTGGTGACTGACATTAGGAATAACCAGACCTTTCCAGGGAGATCACATTTTTTCTGCCCTGATCCATCAGGCTCACCTTGCTGGGCATAATCAGACCTGAAGGTAACATGGTCACCTGCATTCCTGCATTCCATTCCTGCCCTGCCACATGGGATGCCTACTCCCGTGGAGTGGACTTAATGCAGGTTAATCATGTCTGGCAAGCTTTGACAATATGGGGGAAAACTTCTAGACCAGGGCAGCTAGTAATGTGGCCCCACAAAGTCTTTTAACATCATGTGTTTTTTAGCATTTATTGTCTTCATGACCCATGCGTAGTTCCATTTTTGAAGGTCACAATCACACCTTTTTCATAACATTGCTTTTTGGCAGCACATATATTTGTGAGCATCTGTTTTCAATTATAATGAAGCACACGAAGAGCCAAATTCGAACAAACATTTCTGATGAGCACCTTGAGAACTCACTAAGAATTGCAGCTACTTTCATCGAACCAGACACTGATGGATTAGTTTTACAAAAACAAGGTCAGATTTTCCACTTGTTTTATGTTGTTCTCATTTTTCTAAACTTTATAATAAGTTTTATTATGTATATACACTAACTATATTATACAATTTATGTGCATCCCAAGACAATTCCTCTTTACTCCATGTGGCCCAGGGAAACCAAAACGTTGAACACCCTTAAACTAGACTAAAAATTGATTCAGAAAGCATACACAAACTCCTCATTCTCCTGGAGGGAGGCTGCAAGAGACAATGGAAAAGACTGGTAGCCTTCTAGGACTTCCCTCTACTCCTCCTTTCCTCCCTCTGCCCTTTAATCCCAAGTCAGTCTCCAGTCTGGCTAGGAGCAGGGGTGGCTGTGGGTAAACCTGGAGGGCTTGTTCAAATGCAGATGGCTGGGGACCTCGCTCCTGGAGTTTCTGCCCCAGTAGGTCTGGGGTGGGATGGACCACACTTTGGAAACGATTTCACGAAGCCATTGAGGCTCAGCTCAGCTTTAGTGCAGGCCAGTCTGCTTAGGACTCTGTTCCCTAGGCCCTTTCAGGGTCAGGAAACTACTGGTGTATCTTTTGTTCCCAGTGCTGGGTAATTTCCCTGTCTCCTATGGATTCTGCCCTCCTTGGTTCATCCCAGTTGGGACCCCGGGCTGAAGGCAGCTGTTCCACCTGACGCCAAGCCTGACTTGGGACATTCCTTGCTCCTTGTGGTGTCAGGCTAGGACAAGTGGCCCAGAAAGGAGCTAGAAGAGGCTGCTCTCTTCCTGCTCCCCTCCCACTCTCCACACCCTCTCCTTTTCAGGAATGCATGTCCTCACAGGACCTGTTGACTTGGGAGTGGTATTTCTAGGTGGCTGAGTGTGCTGTAAGAAGGTAGACGGGCTCGGTGGCTCAGCCTGTAATCCCACGCCTTGGGAGGCTGAGGTGAGTGGATTGCCTGAGCCCGTGGGTTCGAGACCCGCCTGGGCAACTTGGTGAGACCTCATCTATACAATAAATCAAAAAAATTAGCTGGTGTGGTAGCACGCACCTGTAGTTTTAGCTACTTGGAAGCCTGAGGTGGAAGGATTGCCTGAGCCCAGTAAGTCTAGGCTGTGGTGGCCGGGAGCGTGCCACTGCACTCCAGCCTGGTTGAGAGAGTGAGACTCCTACTAAAAAAAAAAAAAAAAAAAAAAAAAAAAATCTCAAGAACTCTGGAGCCACCAGCTCTGGGTTCAAATCCAACTTTAGTACTGTGTGGCCATGAGACATATTCTTCCCTACTTTGCAGGAGAATTTGGCTTTCACTTGGCTTTGTATCTAGTACCCCTTGAGAATCTGATAAAGGAAGTACATCAACTACCTTTAGGCAACATTGCTTGTGATAAAAATGACCTCATGATGAAAGTAGACAGGGAGACCTATTCATATCTGGAAGGAAGCATTCTTTGTACTCTCTGAGTACAGTGACTCCTTTCACTGGCCTGTCCCTTATGGAAACCCCAGAAGCCATGCCTTCGGAGTCATAATAGGCAATGTGGTACCTGTGAGGTATTAAGCTAGTGTGACTGCCATGCCCACCTTTCCTGCGTCTTAGCCATCACCTCGGGGAGCCAAACAGAAGCTTCTGTATGGTTTATTGGACTGGAGTTCTATGGACTGGTTTTGTTTAAGAGGAAGTCCTGAGACTGCCCTGCCCACAAGCCGTATGTCCTGTCTTGTACCCTTCTAAATGAATCGAATGTTATGTGTGCTGTCTTGTGAGCCTCAATGTTTAGTGAAAGTTAGAAAGACCTCTAGTGGGCATGTGGCGTGACTGTTTTTTTTAAAGTGTGCATTTTTCTTCTCCACAAAATGGGGATGATAATATTGCCTACCTTCTAGGCTTGTTACAGAGATGGCAAGATGTGTAGAACAGTGCCTAGCCTGTAAGTATGTGCTGATGCCACACCGTCATCACCATCATCGCCATCATTATCACCCTCATCACCATCGAAGGAAGGCCAGAAGACCCTTTCTTCTTTGAGTCAGTTCCAATTTCATCTTAGCTGCTAATTCCCTGTATGGCTTTGGACAAATTACCTTATCCTCTGAGGATATAGGCTCTTACAGTATATTATAGGTGTCCATTTATTTGATGAATAGGCTGATAAAGTAGGAGAGTCAACTAAATGCTCTTCAAAGTCTCTTTTAGTTTCTCTTCTAGAAATTTGAAGGAGGAATGGAGAAAGAGGCAAGAGGCTACGAAGTACCTGCAGAGGGAGTGGTGTCAGGGGTCAGCAGTCTGAAGGGGGACAGGGTCATCGGGAGGAGGTGGGGGACGTCCAGTAGTCCTAGCCAAGGCTGAAGAGAATGTAGATATTCTGATGAGGGAGTAATACTCAACATAGCCTGTTTTCCAGGGCAAATTAAAAGGCTCAGAGGGCCATGGCGTGTGGCCAAGACAAGATTAAAATGTGTTTCTTTTGGGTGTTTGAAGTATCTGTCTGAGAAAAACTACAGAGTTGTCTCATATCTTCCTGGACTTTTCTTCTCTGAGGATGGCACTCAGAGTGGCAGCGGGGAAGAGGATTTCTGATCTCTCTAATCGCTGAGGAGGAGAGGATGGCACTGATTCCGGAAGAAGGCCAGCCCTAATGTTGGATGTCTCCCTCCCTCCTTCAGGTCTGAATGCTGGTGCTTTTTACGCCCTGTCCACTCTGCTGAATCGCATGGTGATCTTTCACTACCCGGTAAGGGAGTTCCTACAGATGCTGGGCGGGAAGAGAAGGTGGCCTCTAAGTCTGTCTTGGCATGAGTGGGGGTGGCGGTTAAGTCTTGGTTCCCCTCGGTTCTAGGCAGCCTGGCATGGTGGTATGCTCACAGGGGCTCAACCCTAGCTCTAAATGTGTGAAAAGCTAGTTAGCGTCTTTGAGTTCTCATTCTCTTTTCTGTAAAAGAAGCATAATTACTTATTGCAAGATTATTTTTAGGATTACAGGGTAAATAATATCAGATGTGTATGTATATGCAGTCATATCATATTTATGATATATGCAAAGTACATAGCATGGTGCCTGGCAACACAGTTAGGAAATGTGTGTGTGTAACATATGTATATGTCGTAAATGTGGATTTAATGGTTCTGGAACCAGTGAGAATGGATGCTGGGAGTGGGATATTGAGTAACCTGGAGTCAGGAATACCTGGGTCCAACCCTTTTCTAAAAGGCCTAGGCACTCACACATACAGAGGTGACAGACCATTGTGGGCTAAGTGTTCTCGGACAGGTCTGAGTTCAGATTCTAGCTCTGAACTGAATATGTGCCTCATGACCTGGGGCTAGTAAGTTAATCTCATTGTGCCTCAGTTTCTTCATTTGTAAAATGGGGAAGACTGCTGCCTAACTTTATGTGGGGAATTGTGAGGATTAAATGAGATAATGGTGTAGGCATGGTGCCAGGCTTATAAACAACGCAAAAATATACAACTGTTTATCTTCTTTTTTAAAAAAAGTTTTCAAACAAAGTTTATTAGTGAGAAAGAGAAAAGGGAAAAAGGAAGATTCATGACAGAAAGAACTGACATGGGCAAGTTTTCAAAGAAGAAAAACCAGTTGTCTTCCCTTCTTTCTGGCATGGATAACCTAAGAATATTATATTTGGACATGTATATTTCAATCTTCTTATCTATGAAATGTAAATAATGATAAATAGAAGAGTTGCTATAAAAACTTAAATTAGGGCAATCCCTTCGGGTCCCCTCCCACTGTGGGAGCTTTTCGGTCCTCTCAATAAATCCTGCTTTCTTAAAAAAAAAAAAAAAGACAACAAAACTTAAATTTAAAAAAGTCTAAGAGTGATTCTAAGGACAGAATTTGGTTTATCCCTGTCACTCCAGCATCCAGCACCATACACACACATTTGGGGCTACATTGTTGGAGTAACTGTCTTAACTATTCTAGCATTTTCTTCCAGGCCTTCTTATCCTGATACTATCTGAATATTGGCTCTAAGGGAGCCTGAATTACTTGCCTTTGTCTCTTTGCCCCATGGAGACTGCACTCTGTCCCATGTCTTGTCCCATCCCTGGGTGACCTTTGGGCTGTGGTTTCCTCAGGGGGAAGAAGTGAATGCTGGAAGAATCGGCCTGACCATCGTCATTGCAGGAATGCTTGGGGCTGTGATCGCAGGCATCTGGTTGGATAGGACCAAAACCTACAAGTAAGTGACTCTTTCTCCTAAACTGAGAATAGGGGACCCACTTTTTGAAAGGACATTTTCATTAGCAAAGTGGGTCCAGGCTCTGGGCACAGCAGCTGGGATCTGAGTGATCAAGCCAGGCCATTCAGATTTGTCTTCCTTGAGCCTTGGTATCCTCATTTATAAAGTGAGGGAAACTGCATCCTTTCCTCTGACCCTGTGGGGATCTTGGGAAGATGAGAGTTAGTGGACATGAAGGCCTAGCACAGTCCTCTTCCTACCTCCATTCTCCAGGTAGCTGGAGGTAAGGGAGAAATGAACGTGAATGTGAGCTGGGCTTGGTGGGTCACTCCTGTAATCCCAAAACTTAGGGAGGCTGAGGTGAGAGGATTGCCTGGGCCTAAGGGTTTGCGACCAGTCTGGGCAACTTGGCAAAGCCTCGTCTCTATAATAAATCAAAAAATTAGCTGGATGTGGTGGCACACGCCTGGAGTTCCAGCTACTTGGAAGGCTGAGGTAAAAGGATTACCTGAGCCCAGCAGGTTGAGGCTGTGGTTCACTGAATGTGCCACTGCACTCCATCCTGGGCAACAGAGCAAGACTCTGACTAAAAACAAAACAAAACAAAAAAAAAGAAAATGAATGTGAAAAATCTCAGCAGTCGAAAAATTTGTGGGGACCCCAAGGATTGGAGATGAGGAGAGATTGATATAAATGCCCTATTCTCATGACTCTTCGGGGACCCTGAGGGGTTGACCAAGGTGCTCTGTGCCCACTCTAGTTTGCTGTTTATACTGCCTTGCAGTTATTTATATCTGATTGGTAAATATTGGAATGTACTTTAGACCCAAATGCCCAATGCATTTCTAAGAGCCTGGAGCCATCTTAAAAGGTTTTAGTGTGCCAGGCTAATCCAGAATGCCTATTAAAAATGGGAATTTTTTTTGCTGGACACAATGGCTCATGCCTGTAATTCCAGCATTTTAGGAGGCTAAGGCAAGAGAATTGCCTGAGTCTAGGGGCTTGAGACCAACCTGGGCAACTTGGTGTGACCTCATCAAAAATTAGCTGGGTGTGGTGGCATGTGCCTGTAGTTCCAGCTACTTGGAAGGTTAGGGTGGAAGGATTGCCTGAGCCCAGCGGACTGGGTCTGCGGTGGCCGTGAACATGCCACTGCACTCCAGCCTGACAAGAGTGAGACTGCTACTCATAAAAAAGGGGAATGTTTGTGGCCAGGCATGAGCACTTTGGGAAACTCCTAGCTTGAGGCTAGGAGTTTCAGACCAGCCTGGCCAAGATAGCGAAACCCCGTTTGTACAGAAAAACAAAATTAGATGGGTGTGGTGGTACGATTGTAGTCTCGGCTACTTGGGGGGCTGAGCTGGGAGGATCACTTGAGCCCTGAAGTTTGAGGCTGCAGTGAGCTATGATCGTGACGTTACACTCCTGCCTGGGCGACAGAGCAGGACACTGTCTCTAGAATATAAATGAATGAATAAAAGTAAAATTTTCTGAGCCCCACTCCCATGGATGTCAATTCAGTAGAGGAATGTGCATTTGTAAAAAACCACCTGGATACATCATTTCAGCAACTGGCCTTGGAGAAAATGCTCCTGTTAACAGTGGCTGACATCCTTCCCCTCTTTTTGTGACTTCCCCGTGCTCCCCCGGCACTGGGTACTCAGTTAGCACTGGCTGGTGGGGCAGGGTTGTCTTGTACTGGGGCAGGGCGGTGTCCTGGGCTGCTTTGTCAAGGCCTCCAAAGTTTCCAGTGTCTGCAGGCAACAGACAGTGGAAGACCTGTTCTCTGCTACACAAACCCGCTTCTGTGAGGCTCTGGTCAGACCAGGTCTCTGCCCTTGTCAAAGGCCGATTGAGATCGTCTGGGGGAGGTGACCGTCTCGGGGAGGTGGCTGCCTGGTAGGCAGGATGAGGAGCCTGGCTCGGCGTAATTACCACTGGTGGGGTTTGGCTGCCGGCTTGTCTCTGCTGTCTGTTAGTTGCTGGATTTAGCCAGACACAATGATAGTGAGGCCTGGCCACCCCAAAACCAGTGAACACTAGTGGCCCTCTCCAGGCTTCTCTGTGGCAAGAGGAGGAAGGGACTGGAATGTTGGCTGGGCTAGGTCGTGGGCAGCTGATGATGAATGAGGATCAGATGAATAAGAAAATGCAATGAAAGGACAGGGAGGGACATTTCCTGAACTCTCTTCAGAACCTACGCGTCACCAGTTCCCAGTGTGACTTGATGTCTAAATTTGGTGGTCCACATGAGACATTCTTCTCCCTGTACCATTGCCCAGGCTGAGAAAGGATGTCTCTCAGGAGGATGGGAGAGCTCTGCTCTCTAAGGCTCCCAGATTTGTCCAGTTTGGTTTGGGGGCTGGAAACTGGGTGGTAAGCTCTCTTTATCCCAGGCTGAGACTGCAAATCGTTTTTCTAAACTGGTTAGTGGTGTAAAATGGTTAAACAAACATGGCAAAGACTGTTTGGTATCTGGTGAGCTTTTGGGGCAGACTGGTGTCCAAAAAACTGGTTTCTGCAGGGTGGATGGGAACAGAATGGGGGAGCAGGGGAGGGAAGGAGGAAGCCTGTCTACCCTCCATGGCTACTTTGAAACACCAGGTGGGAGCAGCATCCTTTGGTGACTCTGACCTTGAGCTTTTTCAAAGATGCAACAGGTGGTGTGTTTTTACTCCTGTGTGTGGTCACAGAAAGAGCACAGGTTTCAAATCCTGCTCTGAGTTCATATCCCAACTTTGCGTTACTCAGCTGATAACTTAGCACAAGTAACTTAACCAGTCTGAGTCTCAGTTTCCTCACTGCCAAAATTAGAGATAGTCATACATTTATTGCACTATTTTTGTAAGAGCTGAGTTGAAATAATAAACGCATGTAAAGTGCTTAACAGAATTTGGCACCCAATAAATACAGGTATTAGTTTGACACAACCCTAATTTGCTCACTGGTGTCCGCTGGCTTCAGGGAAAACATGTTATTTTATTATTGTTTATTTTAGAGATGTGCAGTGGTGCGATCATAGCTTACAGCAGCCTCTAATTTCTAGGCTTAAGTGATCCTCCTGCCTCAGGCTCCTGAGTAGCTGGGTCTACAGGCATGCGCTACCACCATACCCAGCTAATATTTTTATAGAGATGGGATTTTGCTATGTTGCTCAGGCTGGTCTTGAACTCCTAGCCTCAAGCAGTCCTCCCAGCCCAGCCTCCCAAAGTGAGCCTCTGCCCTCGGCTGAAATCTGTGAAGGCTTTATGCTTTCATCGTCTGAGTGCTGATGTTCATGGAAGGAGGGCAGAGGGCTGTGCAGAGCCTGTGCCCTACAATAAGTAGTGCAGGGGGAAGAAGGCAGGTGTGATTGTAGGAGTCAGGGCCTCAGCGGAACCCTGGGTGGGGACACGGGAAGGAAGTATGGAGGGGCACAGGGAGGGCTGAGCCTGAAATAGAAACCAGGACTTGCTGATGGCACTTCTGAGGGTACTGACCAAGGGAACTGAAACAGGGAGTGGAGTCTTCTCATTTTGGCTTTGGAAGTCAAGTTCGGGTGAGAGAACTCCATGCTGGAGGGGAGTAGCTCAGATTCAACAGGAGAAGCTGTGCTGGGCCTGGGCATGGGGCCGGGGGGGGGGAGGAAGAACTTGCAGGTGACAGAGCATCAAAAAGTCAGATCACTGCCCGGTGTTGTCATGGATCTTGGGACACAGTGGACAAGCAGAGGGGTATGTCTTCTGGGGTAGTTGTGAAACTCACTACCACCTACCCGTGGCTGATGTGTGTCCTGTTTTTTCTTTATTCTGGTGGGTAGTGGGGGAAGGAAAGGGCTGTGCCTTCTTGTCTGTGGCAGGACATGCCACGTCAAGGGGCAGCTTGATATTGCTGAGGGTTCTGCAGGAAGAGAACACACATCTAGCAAGATGACTTCCCTAGGTCTACCCTTTGTAGGACTGATCATGATGTAATTAAATAAGTTTTTGTGTGACCACTGGCTCAGCATCCATTACCCTTATGGACAGAAAGTTCTGTGAGAGAAGATGTCCAAGCACATAGCAGAGGGCTTGACATACAGCAGGTGCCTAATAGTTACCTGTGGAATGAATGAATGATTGATCCTATTAAACTCAACTTCCTTGCCTGTACTTGTAGACAGACAACTCTGGTGGTCTATATCATGACTCTGGTGGGCATGGTGGTGTACACGTTTACCTTGAACCTTGGACATCTGTGGGTGGTATTCATCACCGCCGGCACAATGGGGTAAGTTTCACTTCTGATCTGTTTAATTTAGAACACATTAGTTTATGGTGTCTAGAGCTGTCTGTCACCATCTAAGGGTACAATATCAATCCCTTTACTGCCTTCTCCCTGCCTCAGGAGAAGTGCGCAGGATGCCCATGGGGTGTGGTCATATTTGTAGCACTTCCAAAGGCAGCCTGGGCTGTCTGTGCCATGGGGATGGAGCAAAGCTTGGGGCTTGCCCTTCAAGATCTCAGAGAGGCCAGAAGATGCTTAGAATCTTTTTTTAGCTTTGCATGGGACAGCATGAGGTCACAGAAGGTACATAGGGCTTAGAACCAGAAGCTCTGGGTTGTGGTCTCAGTTCTGCAGCTGACTCCTGTTAGACCACAGGTACAGCACTTAACCCTTCTGAGCCTCAGTTTCCTCATCTGCAAATGAAGGTAAGAGTGGCCTGCCTTGTGGAGTTGCTGGAAGGATTGAGAACGATAATCAATATGAAACAGCAAGCAGATGTGAGAAGTTAACATTAGAATCTTCTAGACTTGTATGAGAAAACATAGGAAACAATACCCCTTTCACATGTGTCTCTGCTCAGCTCCACACCCAGTTATTTTCTTATGGGCTGTGTATGAGTGAGTGAGTGAGTGTGTGTGTGTGTGTGTGTGTGTGTGTGTGTGAGAGAGAGAGAGAGAGAGACAGAGACAGAGACAGAGAGAGAGCTAGTGAGCACATGCGAGTGAGCTCTGGTACTCAGTCCTTCTCAGCTGGCTCCTCTCTGGAGGGAAATAAGGAGGATTCTAAGCTCCTTTTTCCAGGTCCCAGAGAGCCATGGAGATGCTGCTCAGTATGTAGAAGCATCCAACTCCCCGCTCAGGGACTGTGTACCCAGGACAGAGTCTCTCAGTTGAAGTTGAACAGCCAGGCATCTTTGGGCCTTCTGTGAATGCCGACCTTGTCTGCCATTGATGGCAAAATGGAGGGACAAACAGAAATCCCAGAGGCCTGCTGAGCACAAGGCTGCAAGGAACGTCTTCCTGGCCTGCAGGGTTCCCCTTCTTTGGTGTGGCCACTTAGGGGATGCCCAGATCACTCAAGGGCCTGGTGTGTCTTGCTGGCCAGAAACAGGAAAGGGAGCTCTAAGGGAGGAGGGTGGCTCCCTGTCCTTCTTGTTCTGGAAGTTCTTTATCACCTTGTTTTTCAGCTTCTTCATGACTGGCTACCTCCCACTGGGGTTCGAGTTTGCCGTGGAGCTCACGTACCCAGAATCCGAAGGCATATCCTCTGGCCTCCTCAACATCTCTGCACAGGTAGGGCTTCTGTGCACTCTGTTTCCAGCCTGGCTGGGCAGGCCTTGCATGTGACAGCTCTATTCTTCCTGTGGGTTAGATGATGGGCCCTTGTTTCCTGTTTTTATGCCTTTCCAGGTATTTGGGATCATCTTCACCATCTCCCAGGGACAGATTATTGACAAGTATGAAACCATGCCTGGGAACATCTTCCTGTGCGTGTTCCTCGCCCTTGGAGTGGCCCTCACTGGTGAGCGGGGCCTGAGGGCAGGACGAGACTCAGGCTGCCCATGGGCAAGGGTGTTGGCAATTTGGGACCTTGGTATCTTGACGGATTGAACAGACAGGGAGAACATGCGCAGGGGCACAGATGGAAGAGTTTGTTAGGAAATCTGTTTGGGAGACTGAATTGTTTGGGCTTTGGAGCCAGAAAACTTGTGAGACTGTGACACTGACTCGTATAGCTGTTGACCTTGGGCAAGTGGACCAACCTCTGAGTGCCTTAGTTTCCTTATCTGTAAAATGAGGATTATTGTGGCGACTAGAGCAGATATAAGTGATAAATACATGAAGGCCAGTGTCATTATTGGCTTCTGCCCGTCAGGGACAGCAGTGGCCCTGGGACTTTCCTGAGTTGGCTTATGGTGACTCTAGCTCTCTTGAATATCTGAAGCAAGTTTGGGGTGCCTGTATCCCTTAGGAAATGATGGTTCCTCTCCCAGATGAACCTGATGACTCTGTGTCTCTGTCACTCTTCCTCCTCTGTCTCTCGAATTCAGCATTCATTAGGGCAGATCTCCGGAGACAGAAAGCAAACAAAGAAGTTCCTGAGACCGTGAGTATTTGGGAACTTGGTGGTGCCAAGATCTGGGGCCCGATATTTTGATTAGGATGTGGCAACACAGGTGGGCCTGGGAGAATTCCCAGACGGCTGGTTCTGTGTAGCTGGGAGACTAGTTCACCACTTGAAAATGTCACATCCTGAAAGTTTCTTTGCTGGGCATTTTAGATATTGCTTTTCTAGTACTCTTTCTTGGGTTTTTCTACTTCATACCCTCCTCTGTTCCCCTGCTCTGGTCCTCAGAGCACATCACTGTTGTCACAGTCTGCTGAGCAGTGATCCTCATCTCCTCCCCAATCCTGAGCTTCTGGGCTCTGGCTTCACTGCTTTCAGCCTGGGGCAGGTGGCTGGGGAAAAGGTGAAATCTCGCTTGACCACTCTGTTGTGACAATGGTGGCCCTAAGGCAGTGGCTCTCCTGATATATGGCAGCTGTGGGGATGGAGCCAAACAGTTGCCAGAAGGGCTCTGAAAGGACAGGTCAGGAAGCAGGAGCTGATGGAGTAGGGAGGAGAGGACCAGGAGTGTGATCTAGAAAGATACTGCCCACCTGCTCTAATCAGCTGGGAACAAATTTAACCAGAATGTGAGGTATCAAATCTGAGCAATGATGGAAGGAATTGCAAATCTGAGAAAGAGTAAAAGTAGGTTATTTCTTAAAAACAAACAGAGACTTATTATAGAGGTAATACATGCTCTTCATAGAAAAGCTACAAAGTACAGAAAAGTGTAAAGAATTTAACAATCATTCTGTAATTTCATCTAGAGATGTGATGTAATTTTTTTGCATTTATTTCTGCACGCCTGGATCCATATAATTCGGATGTGGATTTGTGTGTGTGTGTGTGTGTGTGTGTGTGTTTATATACATCTTTTAAAAACAAACATGGAATCCTAGTCCGTCAGCTTTTTCACTTACTGCAAACACTTACTAGTTTTTTACAACATTCTTTTAATGTCTGCACAGTTTTCCTATATGCAGAAGCCATGACTTGTTTAACAGTTTTCCTGTCTGTGGGCATTAAGGTTGTTTCGAATTGTTGTTATACGTAATATTGTGATTAACATATTGGAAGCTGAATCTTTGTGCGTGTTCTTAAGTGTACAGTATTTCCTTGAGAAATGAATCAGTGGTCATACCCGCTTTTAAGACTTTACTATATGTTGCTAAAATGTCCTCTAGATAGGTACTATCAGTACTTCCAGTTTATCTTACTCTAACAATATATATGATTGCCAACACTGAACATTTATCATTTTGAAAGATCTCTGCCAATTTTCTAAGGCAAATATAATTATCTGTAAGAGAAATCTTTAGCGCTTTGAAGATACATTGGCAGATAGATGATAATCTTTATTTTTTATTTTTTTGAGTTGTAGTCTCACTTTGTCGCCCAGACTGGAGTGCAGTGGCCGCTCCCGGCCACCACAGCCTCGACCTGCTGGGCTCCGGCGATCCTTCTGCCTCAGCCTTCCGAGTAGCTGGAATTACAGGCACGCGCTACCACGCCCGGCTGATTTTTTTGATTTATTGTAGAGATGAGGTCTTGCTGCCCAGGCGGGTCTCGAACCCGCGGGCTCAGACAATCCACTCACCTCAGCCTCCCAAAGGCGTGGATTACAGGCTGAGCCACCGGGATTACAGGCTGAGCCACCGAGCCCGGCTGATGATAATCTTTAGTTCTTTTTTTTTTGAGTTGGAGTCTCACTCTGTCGCCCAGACTGGAGTGCAGTAGAACACTCACAGCCATCCCAGCGTCAACTTGCTGGGCTCTGGCAGTCCTTCCACCTCAGCCTTCCAAGTAGCCAGAACTACAAGGCCTGCACTACCACGCCTGGCTAATTTTTTTTTTATTTTTTATTGTGGAGTCAAAGTCTCTCCAAGTTGCCAGGGCTGGTCCTGAACCTGCGGGCTCATTGCCTTGGCCTCCCAAAGTGCTGGGATTACAGGCTGAGCTACCAAGCTCAGCCTAATCTTTAGTTCTTTACTATCGGTCTTCTGCCACCACATTCTAGACTTACAGGCAGGAGATGTACAGTGGCATGAGGAAGGAGGAGCCTACAACAGAAATTCCTTGGGGAGACAAGGAAGTCTTTAAAGCAGAAATGGTGTTCTGTAGTCCTGCATGAGGACCATAGCATGGCCACCATGGAGATGGACTTTCACCCGTGCTGTGTTCAAGGAGACATAATGATTGGGTACACTTGGGTGGGGAAAAAATATATTTGTCTCCTTGAATATATATATTAGTGAATTATATATAATATACATATTGTGAACCTGGAAAAGGCACCTATAAGAAAACAAGATAGATTTCTGATGAAAGGTTTTTGATTTAGAATGTGGCATATTGTGTCAAGTGGTATGAGATTTTGTTGTATTTACTTTTCATAACCTGTATTTATGTTGGCAGATATAGGCAAAGAAAGAAAGTAAAAATCTCCTATAATCCTACTGCCCAGAGATAACCTTGTACATTTCCAGTGTTGTAATCTATGGGCATGCTTGTGTATATTTAGTTTTCTGCCCTGCTTGTTTACTTAATACATCTTGGCAACCTTTCTACAAGCTCAGGTCTCTCTCTATATAGATATTTCCATCTCGTTTAATATTTCAGTTGTTCCAATATTTCGGTATTCTTGCAGCCAGATCTTTGTACATATGGAGCAAGTTTGTTAATCAGGTTGGAATTGTTAGCTCAGTCTCACTGAGTATGGGCTATTGTGAATTGCGTTCAGTAGAAATAGGAGGACCCATAAGTTCTGTTAATAGTGCTCTACTGTTTTGTGTCCCTGGATAACTCCCATGTGTCAAAGGCTGCCAGGCATTTGTGGCAGCTTGGTATTATGGGTAAGTCGGTGTTATGCTGGGGCTGACAGGCAAGGATGCGCTGTCACAGAGCTGCCCTCTTCTGGAGCAGAGCCCTGACATCACACACCCCATGACAGCCAGTGTAACTAAAGAGACCTGCAGACAAATTCATTGTGAGAACCCGGAGAAGTTGGGGCACGCAGCACATCTGGCCAGACTGGCTCTTTCTAATCAGTGAGATGTACAGAGACAGGACTCCTGGGATGGGGTAATAGTTGACCTTGGCTGTGAAAGTCCTGGTTTGGGCTTCCATTTATCTTCCAGCACAGACAGTACCTGTGCTTCTGTTGCTACTAGAGTCTATTTTTTATTGTGATTTTGAGATGAGTGCTTTGGAGGAGGCAATTGTGTGTGTGTGTGTGTGTGTGTGTGTGTGTGT